TAGCACAAAACTTGTCTATGATTTTACAAATAAATAATTGAAATGATAAGTTTAATCAATGTATTGTAATGAAATATTCATCTAGTGTTGGTGAAAATTCCCTAGTTTTATGCACTTTAATAAAGATTAATATGCCTTTCAAATTTTGAGCTGATCAATAATTTTCAAAATAGCTACAGAATAGCAAACAAAAGGTTCCAATTAGAAATTTTATGAATAGAAAATCAGTCATCAATTTGTAAAGTCATTTGAATAAATTTTGCTGACAAAATCTTTTTCAAGAGTTAATTAAATTTTGCATAATCGAACTCATAAGAAATATTTTATATTTAATAAATTTATGTTTGCGTTGATCTCACAATGATATGCATCTATTTTCAAAATCTTCATTTTGAGTGAAATTATATGTAAACTGAGCTCTAAGTTAGGTTGTAAATATTTATGAAACCGGATTTGGCTCTTCATTGATTAACAGAAATATGAATATCGATTAATATGCCAAAGACTTTCACCTAATAATGCAGATTTATGCAATCAGTTGAAATGAGGGCATTTTGCAGGCAGTTGCTGTTGAATGCACAATTTACTCATCAGTGATGAATTGTATGATGTTTGACAACATGGTAAGAGGAGCTTATTAAATCCAATTTTCTTATCAAAACGAGCTTTGTTCAACAGAATATTTAAAGGTTGAGCAGTTTTAAGAAGCTTCATTAGTTTTATTGGAGTTAACGTAGTTTTGGTATTGCTGTAAAATAATGAGAGAGTCGACAAATATGCTGATTTTATAGTTTCTACTTTATAATACATAAAAATATAAACTCTACATAAAGCATTTTAAAAGGATTACATCTCCACACTGCTAAAATTTTCATTCTTAAATTATGGTAAAATGACTGACAGCTGTCTGGCCATCCGATTAACCGTAAAGTTTACGGTAAAGAACATTTTTTTTTCCTTTATGATTTTGAAACAATTTACAAAAACTATGGTTATAAAACCATGAATACAAAACTATACGGTTTTTTAAACATTTACTGCTAGAATTATTTAAAAACTGAAGGAAAAAAATTATTTAACTAGACATAGGAGTTCGGCTTTTCGTAAGGTAATGGGCATTGGAGAGTGCCGGACTCTTCTTCATGTGTTGAAGGGAATGGAGGAAATATTGCAGTGTCAACACTAGGACTCGAACTCCAGTTTTACTGGTTATGCGATTGACAGATAATCCCGCTCGGCTATAATATGCACGCAGTTGCAAACAACTAAGTAGCATCATTAGTTGGTTCTAGTTGGTGCGACAAAATTCTGGTTGTTTAACTGCATTGGGTGAAAGCAGTTAATAAACAGTTTTTCAACTAAACAGTTTGATTACCATTTTATTTATGGTTATTTGACTGTTTTGATTAAATATAATAATATAACCATTCAATAAATAGTTATTTAACCATTTTTTCCCAAGAAATTTCTAACAGTGCATGGCAGAGTGTAAAAACTGATAATTTAGAGGGGAACATAACATGCACTTCCATTACATTGAGGGAAAATGAATGCTTTTTAAATATTTCAGTTATCATTTGAGAAATTTAAAGAATGCATATGTAACAAAATAAATACAGTGTAGTTTAAAAAAAATTAAGCTAAATTTAGGAAAATATATTACTTGTTATTTTTTTTTCTAAAAAGGAGAGCTTTGTAACTACTTCACCTTTATCAGACTTACTATAATTTACTTCATTAATTAGTTGATAATTTTTTAAGCTGTTTCCTCAAAAAGTATATGGCGATAGACTAGCTAAAACTAAAAGGCACCAAGTTTCAACCTCATAAAATAAGTTTCGAATGTTAAGGAGTTTTGTTTTGGAAGTTATAAAAATTAGTTTTAAAATACAGATTTAAATAAATGGAATAAAAACTATGAATCGAATCAAAATACATGGGCGATTTCCAGGTATCAATATTTTAAATATAGCCCCATATCAATACGCTCAAAATTATTTTGATAAAATGTAATAAAACTAAAAGTAAGGGAGCAAGATTTTAAAATATATTTCTAGAATATAACTTTCTGGATATATTCAGAAGTATATAGTATTAGAATTTTAACAACGTTTGTATTAAGTTACATACAATGCGTGTAAGATTTTTTGTTAACAAAACTTTGATTTTTTAAACTGAAAGATAGGATAATTTGAATAACTCGTAAAATTTAACTGTTTTTCATTAAATAAGCAAGAAAGCGCCAACGTTATTGAAAATGTATCAAGTAGGATTGAAAGTACAGCAATTTTTTATGCTATAAAGAATACCTTTGACGAACGAAGTTATAGTGCCCAATTAAATTGTGGAAAAACATTTCTTATCTTGAGAATTGCAAAATAATCTGCCTCATTGTAGCTTATATAGGCTTACGCATATACAGGAAAAGTACTTTCTAATGAACATACTATTAGACAATGCTATATATAAATTATCGATTTTTCAAAATTATTCACATTTTGAAATATTTTTGCCGTTCGATTTATGGAAAATAACACAACCTTATCACTAGTACTACAATACAAGAGGAATCAAATTTACAAACTACCTCCTATGACTATTTATGGTTCATCAATGCGTTTACGAAGTTATTTTACTAGCCGCAAAAAAAACAATACACCATTTCAACAAATAAATAAATAATTAAATGAAGAAAAAAAATTAAGAACAATTTTGTTTATTCTTAAATAATTTTGTCTTCTCCTTTTTTTAAAGTACTGTGTGAAAATGAAGGAAAAAAACGGACGTCTCTAAATAACTCAATAAGAAATCGAATTTTGAAAAGTCATATACCTAAAATTCAATTTCTCAAGAACTATACAACCGATGTCGTACAAATTTTGTATTTTGCCATAAAAAATTACATACTTTGAAATGATGTAAAAAATTATATTACTTACAATTCAAAATATTTTCGACAATTATTAAATATCATAATAAAAAATAAAAAAAATATTTACTAATATTTATTTTTTGCATGGAATTACATTTGGATAAACGAATTTCATAATCACTCTCCTGACCTAACTATGGATACCATATTTCCCAGACTGCGGCTACCCCCTAAATTTTAGAGGTCAGAAATCCGAATCCCTTGTAAAAAAGAAGGTATGTTTATTCAAGAAAAATCGCTTTTGTGTCTGATTTCATAACTTAAACTATCGTCTCCACTAACTAGTTGGAATATTTGAAGTCATCCCCTTGAGCCATTAAGTTTGAGTTCTAGAACGTGAAGATCAAAAGTTATTCAGGCAAAATTATATTTTTTGGCACATTGTACATTAATTTCATTCGGGAATTTTTGCAGTGTTCTACGATGTACAGCAATTTCTTGGGCAAAAATGAAATCATTGCACTCCAATGTGCAGCACTTCAATCAAGTAAAAGAACGTTATAGATCCCAAATTTAATGCAAGAAAAAACATTTGGATACCTACCAATCCCGAAAAATATTACCCAGTTTCCGTTGCTGACAAAACTTAACGGTCTGGCAGAGCATCTCTACCACTTTGAAATGTTTTCAAACCCTGTTGTTGCTACCTTTGTTATCGAACCAATGAAACATCTCAGTAATCATTGTTTCCCCTTGTTGGTGTCACAGAAACGATCCTCTGTAGAGCGCTAATGAAAACTTATGACTATGATCACCTTCTTGATAGTTTTCACATGTACTCTTGTAATATTATGCTTTTGTATTTGTCTTGAGATTAGAAATAAGAAAAATATTATTTTCGTTCAATAAAATCTTCATCAAAGTTGGCATCTATTATTAGATATACAAAAATCTTAGGATACCGTCGTGAAGGTGTTGTATATTAATGTCCGCGATGAAGGAAAGTACACTTCGGATCGATGAATGATCCCAAATTCAAGTTAACCCATTGGCGCTCTAAAGAAAAGATGCTACTCACGATGTCAACATGATTTTGAGAAATGGAGGGCTGATTCAGGGGCCCCCATCAGGGAGGAAGGTGGGCGCACGATGGGCCCACTTAAAGCTTGGGGGGGATTTTTACACTAAATAAAACGAATAGTTTGGGGGGGGGGATTTAGACGAGAGAATTTTTTTTTAAGTACATAAATGAAAGAAGCAACTGGCCATTTTCATGCATACATAACTTGAACTCATATTCAATAACGCATTTGTTGAAAATTGGAGCATGTCAACCAACAGAGTTACATTTAGACTACGGAGTAAGTGGCCGACAATTTTCAATTACCTGGTATAGAGCAAAACTACAAAATGGAACCGAAAAATACAGAAAGTGGCTATCCTATAGCCCCGCCACACATAAGGTATACAGCATATATTGCATAATGTTTGGTGGCCCCAAAGCATCCAACGTATGGACTGAAAGATATTTTGTGATATGGACCATTGGCTGCTAGATATCACGAGGCATGAAAAAATCATTGAACATGTTGATGCTGAAAAGGCAATTATTCGCTGGTTACGAGGGGGACGAACAGATAGAAGGAATGCAACAATTCAAAGCGCTATAGTTGAGCGAAATCGCCATGTTGTGAGTTGCATGATTGATTGCGCGAAATATCTTACAACAGAAATGATGGCATTTCAAGGACATGATTCAAAATCAGGTAAATTTTGGAACTTGTTCAGGGTTATAGTGAAGCATAATCCTTATGCACAAAGTTATTTGGATAAACCAGACGCTGATCGCGAAAAAAAGAAACGCATTGTGTCAAATCTCCTGAGATGGCTCAATCAAAACAGACTTATCCAGGCAATGGAGTTACGCATCATCAATGAAATTGTTCCGAGTCTTAAACTACACAAGGTATGATCACTCATTATTGACTGCACTCAAGACGTCAGCAAGAAAGAGGTGATGGCTATCATTGTTCGCTACCTAGAGAATTCATCGAATTAAAATAAACCACCAAAAGTAGTTGAGCGTCTACTGAAAGTATTAACACTCAAATCGTCCACAGGAGCGGCTATGAAAGAAATAGTTCTTCAAGAATCCAAAATTCCGCTAGAAACCCTCGTTGGGCGGAGCTACGATGGTGCTCTCAATATGCGTGTCGATTTCAAAGGTTTGAAAACACTGATCCAGGAAGTTGCACCAAAGGCTCAATATATTTGGTGCAGTAGTCACCGTTTTAATTTTGCGATAAACACAGTCGGTAAATCGTCGATTGAAATGAAAAGAGCCATTGATATGCTAGAAGACTTATGCGTCTTTATATCTGGCTTCACACGAAATGCAGTTTTCGTGGAAGAGCAAGGAAATGGACAGTGTCGGTCGTTAAAGCGAGTCCAGACAACGAGATTTAGCAGTACTAAAGACGCTGTAACTACTATTATAAAGACTTTTACTACTGTAATTTCTACATTGAAGAGAATAATTGGAGATCCGCACATGGAACATGAAACCGTCACTAAAGCGACTGGTTTGCTGCACAGAGTACAAGATATAAACTTTGTTGTGTCTCTCCATATAATAGATAAAATTTTTACCATTACATCCTCTGTGACAATATTAATGCAGGGAGTTGCAGTCGACCTGGCTCAAGCAGCCCAGTTGCTTGAAATTTGCAAATTTGGCATCAGGAAATTAAGAGAAAATGTGGACACATCGTGGAAAAAAATATGGGAGTTGTCATGCACATTTTCCGAAACTCATGGCATTGATACCGAGATCAATCGGAGACAAATGAGAGTTCCCCACTTGCCTGGTGAAAATTGCCGGGATGAAAGACTTCATGGAGAAGAATTACTAAAAACGAGTTTATATATTGTGGCTCTGGATGGTTTGAGCATTCAACTTGAAGATCTTTCTCCGGAAAAAAATTTGACTTTGTACCGTCAAGTGAGTCTTTTTTAGCCAAAAAGTTCAAGATCTTCGACATTCAAAGCTACAAAAGATGACATAGACTTTCTATGCAATAAGTACGGTCTCGATGCTGACGAAGCAGTTAATGATGAACTTAAGAGATCTTTATCTTGAATTGGGAGAAGATGACACTGAAATTCATAAGGAATATCACAATGCAACATCACTGGACACAGAAGAAGAAAGCTCAGAGTCTGAAATTGACGAATCAGATATGGCGGTTCTTTATAAGGATCAGAGGAAGTAAGGATTTTTTCCCCACTGAAAGTAGCTTTCGAAATTTCCGCATTTTCTACAATAACATGCATTTATAAGATCTTGGCCATTCTACCAGTCACAAGTTGTTCCGCCGAAAGAGCGTTCAGCCGGCTTAAAATCATCAAAAATAAATTGCGGTCCACCACTGGCACGAAGCGTCTTAACAGTATTCTGATGATTGCTGCAGGAAAGGATATATTGCAGAGAGTGTCGACAGATCATATTATTGATACTTTTGCCATGAGCTCGGAAGTTTTAAAGAAATTATTATTACCAGCCTGTTCTCTCGACTATAGCATCAATAATATGATTTGTTGAGACTTTTTTAGATGTATCGTGTATGTTTTAACCCTTACAGTCACTATCTTTATTCAGCGATCAAAGACAAGTATTTTTGTGCGCTCTGTGCAACTTTTTACCAAATTAAGGGAAAAATGTAAAAAAAAATTATACTTATCTATATAATGAAACAATTTTGTAAAATATAATGTGCATGTTTATTTATTAATTAACAAATATTAGCAACAAATGCATTATTTGCTTTGGTTACTTTTGTACATTGTTTATGAATGAGACTTACACATGCCTAAAATTTTTTACAGTTCAAAAAGAAACAATAAATATCAACTTTTTTGTTTATTAAAAATGTCGTTTGCAGTGAATCAATAAATCTTGAATTTTTTTATTGTTAAAAAATTATTTTTTTTAAAAATGACTAATGAAAATTTGTTTTAAAAAATATGTTTACATTATTGACGGTATAAAGAACCATTTGCATAATTTTTTTGTTAAAAAACGGCGATCGACAGGGCTAAAAAAATCTCGAAATCATGTCCATTATAATGGACATTTGCCTGAAAGTGTTAATTGTACTAAAATTCTCAATTCTTGTGATGATTGCTGGTAGCCATTTGCTGCATTGTTTGGTAACTTCAATAAACTTATTTTTTTAATTATCAGTTTAAAACTTCTGAGCTCCTTAATCTACAGGTGCCATCAGTAACTTATGATTTATTGTTATAGTTTTAGTCAGCCCATTTTCAATTATTTTTTGAGCCGTCTTTTTTAATTTATTTAATTTTGCTTTAAACATATTTTCAGCATTCACAATCAGGATCAAGGTCTGCATTTGTCATATGAGTAGAATGCAAGCAAAGTAGCACTATTTCGAACAAGCTAACATGGAAAGGGGAAGTTAGCAAATTTTTTTTTGGGGGGGGGTGAATGCGCCCAAGAGCTTGAGGGGGGGGGCACTGGGCTGATCTGATCAATAAAAATTAGCAAAGTCTAACCAGCACTAAACACTTACTCCGACGTGCAACCATTTTATACGACAACACATTCCTGACATAGACTTTGGACAATCATCTATAGCATTGCGATGTATTTTTTAATTTCAATACCATGCAGCAACTACCCCTTCAACTGGGTCGACGGTAAAACACTCTACAGTTTGCCTACAGTATCGTCTCCCTGCTCCTATATCATGTTTGCACATGCCCGATGCTTTTCGACTTTCAGGGCTACGTTGTTTCTACTTTATTTACAGTAGTTGCAATATATAAGAGTATAGGGTTCTAATAATAGAAACTCTGTGTTCTTGTATTCACTACTACAGATTATTAGCCGAATTGTTTTATTAATAACAAGCATAAAATATATTGAATGTCCAAATAATCATAAACAGATCCAAATTTCTAACAGAAATGATCCATAAAACCTTTTGTTAAGCAAAAGAAAAACATACTAGAAAGTTATAATTATTTCAATTAATCTCAATTAACTCTATGGCGCATTTATAACTATATTATTTAATAAATGAAGACATAAAATATAGTTTCAACAGCGCAATTTAAATATTAGTCAACGCTGATTATCTTTAAAACAAAATGTCATACATATTTATAATAAATGCAAATTGTTATAAACATTTTAAAGCTTAATTAGAATCATTTAATTATTTTAAATTGTTTCAATGGCTTACTGAGTGGAAGGTGTAACAAAAAGGAGGCTTTTGATTTATTAAAATAGTTTTATAAATAATACCATGGAAAGTGTAAGAGAATCCGATTGACAAACTCTCAATAAGGGGAAGTATTTGATCAATTCAACGGTCTTATTGTATTGATCCTAAGTAGTGTTATTTCAATGAATCGAGAAATGGACTGTTCTCTAATTGACTTCAAACAATCCGTACCCTAAACTCTAAGGCTTGAGTACTATGTTGGTTGCTTACAATGCTGTATAATGGGATGCGAAATAATTATATGCTGTTGTCTAATATAATACCAAACAGAGTGATGTTTTCATTCAGAGAAATCGAAAGCAAGTAGAAATGTACACCTGAATTAAACATTTTTATATTTTTGAAACGAAAATAACATTTTGTTTGTTCGAAGGTAATTTGTATAAATATTTAATTACTTAAGTATAAATAAATAATTTTTTAAGGCGGCTTTTTATTTGAAGATTAAATAAATAATGTATCGACAAATTAAGGAGAAAAAATTTTTAAATTCTGAAAAAAAGGACTAATTCATTATGATAGCCCTAAAAGCATAAATGTGCTTAGAACTTTCCATAAACTGTACTAATTTTAATGATAGTATTATAATTTAAAGAATAAAGAAAGTTTGTAACTATTACGACGACCCTGTTTATATTACTTCTAATTATCTAAAATATTTATTTTTAACGTTGTTTTTGGAGGCTCCGTCGACAAAGAAAATAAAAATACAAAGATAAGTATAAATGCCTTACACTTGAAGCAATGCAATGTTTTTAAACTATATATATAGTCTTGCCCTGAAGAATTATCTGGGCTTTAGAACAGGCAAATAACTTAAATATTTTAAAAGTTATTAAACTTTTTTTAAAAAGTGCCAATTTCGTGATATGTTTTCCTAGATAAACAATATCAGAGTCAATGCCGTATCCTTAGTTTTTGCAAATTTATTTGAGCCCACCTATTACTGCATTGGAGTATGTTTTTAAATATTAAAAAATTCTTATAATTTTTTCAAAACTGTGGCCACATTGACATTGTGCACCACTTCCAAAATAAGATACGCTAAACATGACCTAACAGTCATGAGTAACAATTGCAAACTCACAGCAGTTATAAAACATTATTCGCTCATCATTTCATAATACGACGGAGCCTCCGAAAGGAATATTTGCTAACAGAATGCCTATACAAATTTTTTATCATAAAAAACCGCAAATATAAACTACATTGCTCAGAAATATTTGATCAATATACAATTTAATTACACAAAACTATGGTTCGACTTGTACAGAACACCAAATAAATTCTTTATTCAGATTGCAGAAAATTTGCATCGTTTTATGCTTCAACCTTGAATCAAATTGAAGAACTACACGTTTCTTCAACTCTTGTAGCTTGCAAAAACAATAGTTCAAATTTTTGAATTAAAAATATTACGTTCTTTCGGTCCACTGGAAAGTACTTCGGTTTTCATATTGTGTATTTTAGGGAGAATTTCTGTAGTAAAATTTATTTCTGTAGTTTATTTTGTGTTGATTCAAGATTAAGAAATCAATATAAACATGTAATTTAATTACATCAACTGATTATTCAGTGTGTTCCTTAGAATCCTACATTTATATTTATTTTTAGACTGCTAGTCAGAAATAAAGACAAAAAAGAATACACGCTGGCCGCCTTAGGCGGCTAGTATATAATATTTAAAGGAAATAACAAAACGTTACTGCAATCTGAGCAAAGAAATAGCAAAACGTATTGTAATCAGACAAACTCTAATTCAGAAATGTCTTTCATTCGCACCATTGGCAATGGCTGTAAAATTCCTTAAAAAATATTGGTTAATTTTCAGCAACGTTTATAGAAATAATAAATTAAAATTTTAAAATAATACATTACATTATTTATTTTCTTAAAATGAATTGAAATCAGAAAAACATTAAAATAATTCTGAGATATCATAACAGTAAAAACATTTGCTAAGGAAATTGATACATATAAATTAAACGTACATATAAATTACACAAACTTACATATAAATTACAAGTACATATAAATTAATCGGAATTAGAAACATAATTTCTATCTAAACAAATCATGACAAAGCGTATCAGTTTGATTTAGATAACCAATTGCAAATTTCAATTAATTACTTATTTTAATTGAATAAATGAATTATTTTAATTTAATAATATGTTTAAATTTGCAAATTACAAATCTTCTTTTCCGAAAAAATACTTTTTAGCTACCTGAAATAGAATTACTAGAAATTTAGTTACCTGAAATGAAAATTTAATTGTATTTTATAACCAGTTCATGTTTAAATTTCGAAGAAGTTTGAATTATGTAGAGAGACATTCATAAATTTATAACTCAATTATAAATGATACAGATTCTTCATTAAAATACGATGTCTTCTCTAAAGCGGAAATAAAATGAGAAAAAATCTTTGCGAGGAGTTTTAAAACGAGAGCTTTGCAATAATTTACATTTTAATATTAAAATTTCAAATAGTTTTATTTCAAAAATGTTTTTATTTTATTTTAACTCTTTAACATAACTATTAGTTTCCATTGAAATATGACGTCTTTGATTGAGTGGCAATAAAGTGACCAAATGCTTTGCATGGTAATTTGAAACGAAAATTTACACTAATTTATATTTAAATGTTAAAAAGATTATGTATATTCATTAGCAAAATGTTAATTATTTTCAACCTATTAAGTAA